CCAAAATCGAAAGAAGTAAGCTTAAGCTTGTGTAGTAACTTAGGCATAATGGAACAAGACGACGGTGAATGATGAAGATATCCTTCCAATTGGGTGGTTTGGTTTGAGGATCACACGCTGATGACGATGGGCTTCGTCAGAGGTTGGCGTAGACACAGGCTAGTCTAGGCAGAGAGGTGTCTTCATCTTGCAGTGCTTATCGTCATTGGCAAACCAGAAACGTCCACCTTTTCCTAGAATTTCGCCAAGCCATTCGTCGTCACTGCATGCGCACACAAGTCCCGCCGAAGGCAAGCATGTCGAAAAGGGCCATGCTCCGCGGTGCCCCCTGGTGTCTGTTGGCTACCTTCTCTGCCGCCTTCTCTGTCGTTGTCTCGACTGCTAGAAAACAGGCAGGCTGACCGACAGGCTAGTAGTTGAAAGGTTCAAGAACTTGTTTCGATCGAGGATAGTTGCGGATTCCGGTAATTAGAAACAGTAAAGAAGGGGACGGCGACGGCGAAGAGTATCGAGTGACAGAAGCGAGCAACTGCCCAGGGTGGAGGTCGCGGATGTGGCTTGAAGTCTCCCCCCGTGTGTGTGGCGCACGTACGGCGCAGTACTGCGTATGGTTGAGGTCGCTTGGGCGTTCTTCTTCGTTTCCCTCGAGAAACAAAAACCAAGACCTGACCTGCTATTTTAGGTTGATGGGCCACAATGTTCAACAAGCTATGGAAGTCGGCAACGGGAGGCAGGGTTCCTTAAGAACCATAAGTAAATTAAAACTAGCCAGCAAGCACCGGTTCGAGCAACAAATAAAATGAGGAACATCGTATTGGCACGACTTTGATTAAACGACAGTTCTAGCGTTTCTGTTCAAGGGCGTTGCGGACGGGATCTGGGTTGACGAATGCACGGAATCTTGTGGAGGCGACGACTTGGAACCAGTCCACAGATGTGGCGGTGCGGCGTCGCGGCGCAGTCGCAGTCGCAGTCCGCGTAATTCGTGGGCGAAACACCACTCAGCCCCCCTCCGGGTGCCCAACGCCAGATAGGTATTACCTAGTGTGCGGGTTGATGATGACGACGGGCCCAGCGTGAAGGTGAGGTGCCTCAGGTAGTGGGCCTGCGGAGAACCTGTCCGCGTTTGGCTGCGATGCGGTGGAGCACAGGTCACTGTCCTCGCATTTAGCAGCTAAAAAGTACCTCCCACAGGCACCTGCCCACTTCATGCTACGTTAAGCCCAGGTAGGCATGGAAGGTTCCTGCTGCCCGCTGTCTGCTGCCTTACCTCATGGACCGTGGCACCTGCTTCAATGTCCATGTCTGTCGTCGGTCCGCCCGCCCCCCATACCTTACCTCACCTTACCTACCTACCAGCCTACGAATACCTTGCCTGCTTTAACCTGCGGCTACCCTACCTGAGCGTAAACCTGCCTCCTCGTTCGCCCTACAACAATACCCAACGGCACCGCAAACGACCTTGCGTACCCATTACTGAATACATGCCTTCGCATTGACGGTGACCAATTCTACGTTACCTGTCGCCTTCCTCGCCGCGCCTTGTGGAGTACGGGACGGATATCAACCGACAAACAATCCCAGCGAGGCTGTTCGACCGGCCAGACGTCCGACCAGGCCCTAATACCTTTCAGACTACCTCGCTTGGCTGAACCTCTCTCCCACCCAACATCAACACCACCGACCTAGCCCCTGCCTTTCGCCGTGTGTCACCACTGCTCACTACTACTTCGAGACGCTTCATCGCTGTTGCCTCGTCGCAGACCTTCTTGGCACTAAGCATCGAATACCCAACTGCCTGTCACGACACATCTTCCAACTTAATCACAAGTACAGACCACTTGCGGCGGCTCATAGCTTCTGCCCAAAATGTTCCGAGCAGCAGCTGCTGGTCCCTTCGACGAGGGCGTCGGTATGTGGCACCGGTATCGTGATTGCTGCCTCACCTCGCTAACCTGTGTCTTCCGTCTAGCCAAGGCGACCGACGAGAACCTTACCTCGGAAGACTGGGGAGCCATTATCGAGGTTTGCGACCGTGTCGGCAGCGACCAAAATGGCCCCAAGGAGGTTGTACAAGCCATGATCAAGCGTCTGGCCCATCGCAACGCCAACGTCCAGCTGTATACTCTCGAGGTAAGTTTCCCCGCTTCCCATCATCGTCATTTCCAGCCCATGGAGCCGACCGCTGACCTCATCGCCACTACACCAGCTCGCAAACGCCCTTAGCCAGAACTGTGGCAAGAACATGCACCGAGAGCTCTCCAGCCGAGCATTCACCGATGCCATGCTAAAACTCGCAAACGACCGCAACACCCATAATCAAGTCAAGGCCAAGATACTTGAGCGCATGAAGGAATGGTCCGACATGTTCAGCAAAGACGCAGACCTTGGCATCATGTACGACGCCTACTTCCGACTGAAGCAGAGCAATCCAACCCTGCAAGCCCCCTCGGCCCCCCAGAAGACAGGCTTGACCGATCTAGATCGCCAGAAGGAGGAGGACGAGCTGCAGATGGCTCTGAAGTTGTCGCTGCAGGATGAGGAGCGCAAGAAGAAGGCTGCCGAGCCCGTTGCTTCTTCTTCATCTGCTGCACCAGGATCTTCCTCCCAGCCCCAGCCTCAGCCCCAAAGTCAACCCACACCTGTGCCCGCGGGCACGACAGCAGCTACCGTATCAAGGGTCCGCGCGCTATACGACTTCGTTCCGTCGGAGCCCGGTGAGTTGGAGTTCAAAAAGGGCGACGTCATCGCGGTGCTAGAGTCCGTCTACAAGGATTGGTGGCGGGGTTCGCTCAAAGGCAAGACGGGTATTTTCCCTCTCAACTACGTCGAGAAGCTCACAGATCCCACCCCCGACGAGTTGGCCCGCGAGGCTCAGATGGAGGCCGAGGTTTTTGCCGAGATCAAGAACGTCGAGAAGCTACTGACGCTGCTGAGCACATCCAACACGGCGCCGCGAGAGGAGGATAACGAGGAAATTTCTGTAAGTTGAAGGCCGGCCTTCAGGCGGAGGGCACATACAGTTGACTAACAGCACCTCCGCAGAAACTCTACCACCAGACCTTAGCTATCCGGCCCAAGCTGATCAAGCTTATTGAGAAGTATTCTCAGAAGAAGGGTGAATGCCCTCCTCCATCCGTCGTACGCACCCAAAGCTGACACTGAACAGATGACTTCACGCAGTTGAACGAGAAGTTCATCAAGGCTCGCCGTGACTACGAGTCCCTGCTGGAATCCTCCATGTCACACCCTCCTCAGCCCAGCTACCATCAATACGCCATGAGGCCAGGCCCTGGCGGGTATCCAGGCCCAGCCGGGCCAGCGGCCGGGTATCCTGCTCAGGGTCCTCCCCAACAGCAGCAGGAGCAGAGATTCTACACTCCCGCGCCCCAAGGTGAACTACCTTGAATGCCACTTGAAGTGCATCGAGTTTGACTAGTTGTATATAGAGCAACCACAATACCCCCAGTCTACGCCCTCGCCGAATTTTCAGCGTCCGGCGCAAGCGACACCCGCTCCTTTCTACGTAGCCGGTGCCGAGGTGCCCTCAGCAGGTGGTCCGCCTCCCGCGCAAAACCATCCGTATCCCCAGCGTGAACACAACCCCCGCCTTCCGTCCACGGGGAAAGCCCCGGCACCAATTAACACATCGCCTCCTCCTACAGCCAACGCTTACACTGCTTACTCGCAGCCTCCTAACCAGCGACCCCAGAGCACATACGGTGCTCAGGAGCTGGCCACCTCTGTTTACGATTCGCCCATCGCGGCCCACAACCCGAGCTCAGCCGCGACGTACACATCCTCGGTCTACTCTCAGGATGATCCGTACAACAGCAACAACACCTCTAGTCCAGCCGTCGGAAACACCACCGTACCCGCGCCGCCGCCGTCTTCCTTCCAACCATCAGCGTCGACGGCGCAACCATCCCAACCATCCCAACCATCTGCCCCGCAACAACCACAGTATCAAAGTTACCAGCCCCCAGGGACTCAGGGCCAGGACAACTACAACAACGCCCCGACACAAGCCCCCCCTCCGGTGCCGACCGGAGCGGCACCGCCGATTCCGGGCCCTGCTCGATCTGAAGTCCTGACACCGCCACCCCTGCAGCCCGGCGGAGCTGCCTATGACGCCAGACAGAGCCTGCCAAGCCAGGGAGCACAGCCGCAGTACAGAGCATACGTTCCTCCTGGTGCTGCGGCAGATGGTCCGAGTGCTCCTCCTGCCCACGATTACTATCGCCAAAGCGGTGTTTATTAGAGCAGGAACGAGTCGAAACGGAGCCTGCCACGCACTGAGAGATTGAGTTTAGAAGGAAGGACCAAGTTGGTTTGATGACGACATTCATTTTGGTACGCTAGCGAAGTTTTCCACCATCTTCTATGGGAGGTCTTTTGACAGTGATGTTTTCGAACGCTTTGGCTCAAGGAGCGCGAATGACAGTGCAAGGGGGGAAACGAATGTATCCCGCTAGGTCCCTAGAGCCTCACTCATACCCACAACTAGCAATTTGTCGACTGGACATCAAGAAAGAAAGGCATGACGGGGAAGGGGGCTGATCAGAACGTAATTAGGATCTGTACCATACTTGACATCAAAAATATGTTCCACGTATCTGCTTCGTCACCCTTGGTGCATAGAGTTTGGAAGAGTTTTGGGCAGCTCTCTGGGATGGAGCCGGCCGGGTCTTCTGTCTGGCACAACTTGCCCTGCAGGTCGTCACTATTGTTCCTTCCCTGCGTGCAATGATTCTTGTCTTCATTTCATAATAAATCACGGGCTAATAGGAACACCGTAAAACACCATAACGCCACGCAGGGCTGCTACTCTGCAGATGCCTCCCTCCCCTTATCATGGTACGCCTGAATGCTGTGATGGGATGAATCTCAGCGACAAGGCCTCTCCGTCTCTGCACCGTCTATGTTCCGCCATCATCACCGAATTCATCATCTAAGCATGAAAAATAGGAGACAAAAGGTACGGCCGAGTCTTGTCTCGCCTACCATCGGCGACCGAACATCTCGTGTTCCGCCTTCTTCGGCGCCTTGCGGGCCTTTTGTAGCATTCCGATCTCGGGGGAGCCTTGTCTACTGGTTCGCGCCGAGGTGCTGCGCGACTGGTCGACATAGTTGTCGTGGTTTTCGGCACCGGCACCGTGAGAGTCATCGCGGCGGAACAGATCCATGATCTCCTTGAAGCCGAGCTTGAACGCGTCCTTCTTCATGCCTCCCTCGATGGCCGTCTCAGCGAGCAGACGCTTCTTCTCTTGCAGCTGGAGGATACGCTCCTCCACCGTCTTCTCGACGGTGAGCTTGTAGACGACGACGTCGACTGTCTGTGTGAGGCGGTGAACTCGGTCAATGGCCTGCTCCTCAACAAACTGGGGGGAAGGACTACATGTTAGCAACCTAGGCTACAGACAAAGCGTGTCTATCGGTCCAACAACTTACAGGGTTCCAGAAGGGTTCGAGAATGATGACTCGGGTGGCTGCAGTGAGGTTGAGACCCAAGCTGCCACACTTGAGACTGCAAAGCAGGATGCGCGTGTTCTTGTCGTTGCGCAGGCGGTGCAAGCTAGCCTCGCGCTCGTCATTCTTCATGCTGCCGTCATAGCGTGTGAATTTGAGGCCCTCCTTGCGGAAGAAAGGTTCCACAAGGTCCATCATTGAGGTGAACTGCGAGAATACAATGAACTTGTGCTCGTCGGTCTCCTTGTGCAGTAGCTGCATCATTTGGCGGATCTTGGCGGACGCGAGAATCTGCGATACCTGGCCGTTAGGTTTGTAGCGTGAGTCTCGGTCAGAGTATACTTCCGACTCGTCGACCCCGGTATCTTCTTCCGAGTCAGACTCGAAGTCAGCCTCGGAGGACTTGGATGACCTATACTTCTCATCGAGCTGCGATGCTATCGCTGCTATCGAGGGAAGGCTGTCGTCTGAAGCAAGACTATCATCCACGTCCTCGGGCTTGACCCCATCATCCTTGACAACGAAGCTGTCGAGGTTGCTGCCGTCGTCTTCATCTTCAGACCCGTGTCTCGAGTCTTCAGATCCGATCCAGTCTCCGCCACCCTCTGCATTTTCATCTTCTTCACCTCCGGCCTTGCCCATGCGGAGCTGGACTTGCTGGTCTTCGGGAACGAGCCAGTCACCTTCCGCCTCCTCGTCGTCGCTATCCATGACAACATTGCGTTTCCTAGGCCGCCGAGACTTGGGCTTCTGTGGGCTCTCGTCCTCATCATCGGCAACCAAACTCTGCTCTACAATCTTCTTCACCTTGCCTAGCTTGCCCTTTTTATACTTGGGCTTCTTTCTTCTTGGCGTCTCATGCTCTTTGAAGTATGCAAGATCATCGTAACATTCTTGACAAGTATCCTGCCCGCTCTTGGCAATATCTTTGGGCAGATCCCGGCCACAAATGCCGCAGGTCTTTGTGACGATGCCCATGCCACCGAACATGTCGGCGAGGGCGTCGATGTCTGCCGATACGTTCTTTTGGCCCGCGTCGGTCGAGAGTGCGTCCTTGTCCTTGTCAAGCTTTCCCTCGACCAGCTTCGGGTGGTTGCAAGCTTGCCTAAGTCTCAGGAGCAGGACTAAAGCATTAGCATAGTCCACCTTGCCCTTCAACATGCGCTCGATGCTCTCATCAGCTCGAGCCTCCAGTCTGTCGTAGAAGCGGCGCTCCGCGGGGGAAAATGCGGTGGCAACCGTCACAACCTTGCGCTCGGTGACCTTGAAGCCGGTACCAGACTTTTCACCCTCTTTGGTTGGCTTGCCACCAGGATTGAGGGCGCCGTCTTCCTTAAGAATTTCCTTCGTGCGACGCTTCATGAAGCACCGAAGCAGGCTGTGGAGACGACGAATAGCGACATGACCCTTGCCATTCTTGAGCGGCTTCTCAATCTGCTCCTTCCACTCTTTGAGGTCATCGTAGGGCTTGATTCTGAGAAATTTGATCAGAGACTGCAACTCTTCAAGGTTGTTTTGCATTGGTGTTCCAGATAAACACCAACGGTATTCCGACCGCAAAGCATAGCAAGCTTTTGTCGACTTTGCGTTGCGGTTCTTGATGGTGTGGGCCTCATCAAGGACCACACGCCACCAGTGAAGACCAAAACATCCTGCCTTCACACCGTTCTCGTCTTCTGACGAGTGGCCCCATTCGGAGACAAGCACTTGATAGGTGGTTACGACAACGTCGTACAGCGCGAGATCCTTGAAGCGCTTAGTGCGCTGGGGCCCGTGGTGAACGCATACCTTTAATCCGTGCGATTTCACCACCTTCTCCTTGATCTCTGATTCCCATTGCCTGATCAGGGCCAGAGGTGCCACAACCAATGTTGTCTTCTCAATGCCATCGAAATGCTTTTTGTAGCCCTTCTCGCCCTTGGAAGGCTTCTGATTGCTCAGGATGAGAGCGATTGTTTGGAGAGTTTTGCCAAGACCCATGTCATCTGCCAGGATACCACCCTTGGGAACCTTGCCTCTCTTGACGGGTCCAAGTTCACGGCCCTTCATCCACTCGACACCCTCGACTTGATGAGGCAGGAGTTTCACCTTGAGACCTTCCATACTGCCATCTTTGCCGTCTTTTTCTGTATCCTGTTTCTCCTGATCCTCCTCCTCGTCATCTTCCATGCCACCCTCCAGGAGTGCTTTCAAGTCCGCAGAAGCCTTGGCTGGATCGGTGTAGAAATCGGCATCGCCAAAGTTGCCGGTCGGTCGATATGTGGAAGGGTTTGCATCGGGTCCGATAGAGCTGTAGAGAGTGAGAGGCGCAGGTTTTTGGTCTTGATACAGTGGTACGGCAGGTACAGACACCTGCTGAGCTCTGTGATGCTCGGGTCGAGATGTCCGCTCGTTGAAGATGCCTGCCGCCTTTTGCTTAAGAGACGACACTATCTTCGTCGGGTGGCCAAACACGGGCCGTGGGGACGAAGAAGGATGGAAGGGGTCGTGCCGCTTGGTGTCTGAAAAGAATGACTCTAGGGCCTCAGAGTGCAGCATCGATTGCTCGTATTGACTAGGTTGGCTTTCCTTGGAGCTTGGTCTTGACGATGATGGTTGCTTGAAATCGACGCTGGTGATTTCAACGACGTCGGGGCTGTCTGACTGTTGTGGAGGTGGCATGCGGCGAGCAGACATGTTAGTAGCATTTGGCGGCTTGCCCTTGGGCGTGGTTGACACACGCATAGCGTCGAATCTGGAGGATAGCGAAGCAGGATCTAAGGCGGCTGTGCCACGGCTCTGGGGCCTTGCAGAGCTACTCTGAATGCCATGAGCCTGTTTGCTAGGTGTTGATGTCTTCGGCACAGAGGAGTGCGAGTCGTCGTTGGGGTTGATTGGGCGCAAAGGGCCCTTGACGGGATGGCGTTGATTGACCATGATTGTTTTGTATGAACACCGCGACTGGTCCTCGCCTATAGGGATAGATAGCGGTGGCTGCTTGCAAGGTGACCTGGAGATGTTGGCTCGCTCTTCGAGAGTTATGTTGCTTCTTGGGCGAAAGCAAAAGTCGGCGCCAGGCTTTCTGTTATGTTCGAGGAGGGGTCAGTGACACCGAGCTTCGTTGGGATGTTTCCCAAAAGAACAAAAAAAAACAAGCAATTGTGGGCTGAACCTACTTCATAAGAGACTCATAAATAGCGAATTTGACCTGGAATGCTCAAAGCTTGGTCTCCAAAGTCTGTGGGCTTTTTGGCTATCGCGAGCTCTCTCGTCACGTCCAGAAAAGGTGCGTATATGGGTGCAGGATTGGGGGGTAATTGTGCGTGGGTATGTACCAGAGTGAATGCACGAAGTACCACCCACCACGTTTAACAATGACATAATATCTCTCCCCAGCAACGGATGGGCAACGGGTCGACGCCACGCCACAACACAACCGTGTGAACGGAGATAACTAGGGTCCCTGTGGCGGTGCTAAGCGTGGCTGACTAAGGCAGTGTGCTGAGATATCCATCCTCGTGCCTTCTGCCTCATCTACCTAGTCTGGGCAGTGGGCATACACCTATGGATGAGTCCCGCTGAACGTAAAGGCTGACTTTCTTTTTACCACAATCTGTGGAGGTCTAAAGAATAGGGGGCGTGGTCCATTTCTCACGATTAGCTTTCCCGTGCTATAGTTCGTGTGTGCCCGCTATTGTCGTCGTCGCCTCTAATCGCATGTATCCTGATCCCTATCGCTACTATCGTTGTCTTCAATATCGTTATCGACGACGTCGTCGTCTTCTTCGTCATGACTATCGTGCGATATGAATGGGTCGCCAACACTCTATACTGATCGTTACGATGTAAAGCAGAGGACATTAGCCTTATGCTCATGTCAATTGCGTCAATTCTATCATCTAGATGGGGTATCAGTGTATGGATCAAAACCAACACGCCGCTTCGCTTCCGTTCTAGCCCGTAGCTGTTCCTCTCCTCTTAACCCGGTCGTCGATGTCTCTTCAAGGAAAAATGTCAGGATGTGGTCGTGAATTGTTAGATGTGACGCTTGCTGGAATTCTTGCAAACTTGTAAGCCTGATGAGCATTTCCATCAGGGACAACGATGTGGTCACCGCGCCGAAAGGCGAGCGCTGCACAAAAGAATCCGTATTGTCCATTGTACGATGCGCCAATTCCTGAGTGTAGGGATGCGGGGGCGTGCGCACGTCTCTAACTGGAGACGACGATTGCATAGACATGTTTTGAATCTGGGCTACGAGCCTCGAGTCTAACGAGGATCTTGCTCTCCGGGAGTTGGCAGCAGGCGGTGTAGCAGCAGACGTTGTCGGTGACACTCCGAGAAACTTTCCTCCCTCTTCCAAAAATTCTTCGTCTTCCGTCTCACTGCTCTCTGCCTCGTCTTCTTCAAAAACCTCCAATGCAATCCATTCAGGATCCAAATGGCTGGGAAATTGCCTCCTGAGTGGAGTCATTGGCGACTTAGGTAGTTCATCCAGGGTGTCAAGCGCAGCGCTCTCTTCACGGAGTTGCCGATCAATGTCATCCTGTTCATCTTGGTCACCAAGACTGCTTCCAGTCTCGGACGCCGTCCTAGATGCAGGATCGTCGCTATATGCCATCATCTCTTCCTGGACCTGTGACGGTGGCTTTGCAAGTATGTCCCGTTTCAGGAGAAGAACCGGGTTATTATCCAGGCCATCGCTACCAATGTTTAGAATCCTGCCCGTGTCGGCATAGAATAATTTTGCAATTTGGTGAATTGGTATGGATTCCCGTATACCTGCGCAGCTGATATCGTCGTAGGCGGCCACATGGGCATCCAATTCGTCATGGACACGGCCGTCGTCCAGGTCCTCGATAATCTCCAAGTGGTACGCGTACTCATTGTGCTGCCCCATGGGACGAGACGGACCAAAGGGGTGAGATTCACCGAAGGTCTGGCCCCTTGTACGCCCCGCTCGAAAACCTTTGTTGGCATCAAAAACGTGGTCCATAGGCGTCCGGCACAGTCGTACTCTGGCTTTGTGGATGACTTCCTGCCACACTGGTTTCCTGTCGCCCTCTTCGAACCCATATGCCTCCGTCGACACTCCAAGAGGGCTGCGCGGCGATTTTTGAGGTGTGCTCGGATGGGTTTCCAATTTCTCCAGTCGGTCTTTGGGATGTGGTGCAGCGTGGCCGATGAACAGCATGTAAAGGGACAAAGTGAAAGCCGGACCTATCTGTACCGGCCGGGATGGGTCGGCAGCATATTGAGTGTCTCCAAATGTCAGAAACATGCCGGCTTGCAACAGTCTAGACGGAGATATGCTGGGAGACATTGACGAGTTTAGACTCTCACCTGACGCAGTGATAGCCATGTGCAAGAGCGGTATATCTCTGTCGATACGGGCGAGGAGATCTTTCATGTCGTTGATGATGGCCTTTAGTTCGGCAAGTTGCTGCTCTCCATCGATGCTGCGCCGAACGGCGGCATGAGGCGCTTCTCCTGCTTCAGCAGCCTGCTCTACGCGACGGCCGAGCGCGATGATGTCCTGATGAAGGCCCTTGGCCAGGGGTAAAGCGGACTCCAAGAAGGCATTGCCTCTTCCAGACCTGGAAAGAGCTTAGCGGCTTGTGTCAGCTTGATGTTGCTCGAGGAGTTCTTACTTGAATTCAATAAGATCAATGGCTGGAGAGACGACCTAGAGGCGTGTTAGTCACACCGCTCTGATAGCCTCCATGGCAAACACCCACCTTAATCTTGGTGTCGAGGGTTTTCTGGAGTTTCTTCAGCTCCGAACGGACAGCTCTGTCATCCACCGTCTTCATCAGGCGTGAACACTGGGAAAAAGCGTAGGTCGAGGTCAGAGCTATACCTGACCGTATGGCCATGTTCATGGCCTGGGCTCCCAGTTTTGCGAGTAAGGCGTCCATGGCTGCTGCTGCTGCTGCTGCGACTCAGCAACTGTCATGCTGTTCCAAAAAGCCGGTAGGGTGCAACAACAAGTAAGATCCTGGCCCGCAGATTGAGATTGCGGAGCGAAGAATAAGTGTCGGGCGACAAACTCTTGGTCATTGAAGAAAAGCGAGAAATCAGAATCACTTGCACCTGGCCGTGACCGGGATCCTGAGGCAGGGCAAGGTACCTCAGGTTGCCATAGGTGAGAGAAATAGGCCAGTGACGATGCAAGCAAGCGCAGGTGCCCGATTAGGGTGGAGGGGTCCAGTGCGCACGACAGTGTGTGAGTCCATACCTCTCACGTGCCTCAGCGAGGGGCACTGTGGATGCAGGCGGCACAACTACCCCTCAATCGCTTGGATACAGTGCGACGTCACTCAAGCCGTCCAGGTAGGTAGGTAAGGCAGCACCCCGCCTTGGGGTGGATCAGGTCTCGACTCTGCAAAACTTGACCATTAGGTAGTGTACCAGATTTCCTACAGCCAGCGCAGGAGAAAGGGGAAAAAAAAGAAGGTTCATCGTAAAAGAAAGGCTGGACTCCGTCCAGCACTGTTTCCTTGGAATAGCACCTTGGTGTATTGGCCTCCAACCCAAGAGTGAGTCATTCCAGCCCGATTGCCGTCACTGGGTTCTTTCATTTGCCTCCCTCGAGGTGAGGTATCCGGTGTGCTCTGTGTCCTGTGTCCCGGCGTACCCTTTTGCCTGCTGGAAAAATTAACCCTCCAGCCCCTCTTTAAATCTTTCTTGGGCGCATCTCGTTAACGTCCCATCCCACTTCCAGTTCTGACCGCATCTCCCCGAATCCGCTCACCACCTCACCTTAACCTCCAACCCCTCTAAACCCCCGACATCGACATTCGCCCGCATCGATACATCGACCGCCCCGCCGCAGATTATCAACATGTCGAACCTCAACTCGTGGGAAGACGATCCGGCTGCCCAGGACGACAACCTGTCGCGCCAGGCTCAGCAGCAGCTTAACCTCAACCAACACAACCCCCAGGCTGGCTCCTTCCGTCCAGGCGCATCCTCCTTCACCCCTGGAGCTCAGTCCTTCCAGCCCGGTCAGCAGTACGGTGGCTACGCCCCTCAATACCAGCAGTATTATGGTCAAGGCTACGGCGGCGGCGGCTACCCTCAATATGGCGGCCAACAGGGATACAACTCACAGTACGGACAGCAAGGCTACAGTGGCTACCAGCAACAATATGGTATGTAAATCATCTCTGTCCGTTTCCAATACAGACATCTTGACCATTTGACCTCTGCTGACAACTCGTAGGCCAAGGTCAAGGATATCCGCAATATGCCCAGCAACAACAGCCTCAGGCTCAGGCTCAGCAGCCTGCTCCCACCATCGCCAAGCGCCCGGCTGATGCTCCCGCTGCCGCCGCGCCGGCACCTCAGCCGACAGTGAAGAAGGAAGGCGGTGCCAAGGTCTTGAGCATCGGCGGCGACGCTCCTAAGCCCAAGGCCAAGGTCCTCTCTATCGGCGGTACCGCCGCTCCTGCTAAGGATGAGAAGAAGGAGGCTCCCAAGGAGGAGGCTAAGAAGGACACCAACCCAGCTGCTGAGGCTGGGGCCAAGGCGACAGCGACAAAGGCTATTGAGAAGACGGGTGCTTCGACCACTAAGTCTGGCAAGACCTCTCCCTCTCCCTCATCTGGCCGTTCCAGCCCGTCCGGTGGTGCCAGCAAGGGTCCTGTTCGCGAGGCCGATGCTGTCCAGAAAGAGCAGACAGCCGACGTTGACGAAGAGACTCTCAAGGAAATCTACGGCAAGGAGCATGTCAACATTATTTTCATCGGTCACGTCGATGCTGGAAAGTCGACCCTTGGTGGTTCAATTCTTTATGCTACCGGCATGGTCGACGAGCGAACGATGGACAAATACAAGCGCGAGGCCAAGGAGCTTGGAAACCCTTCATGGTACCTCTCATGGGTCATGGATCTGACCAAGGAGGAACGATCTAAGGGAAAGACCGTCGAAGTTGG